AAAAAAAACTTTGTTTTAACAGTTTTGTTTAAATAGCAACTTTTATTTTTCTTATTAATATTGCATAAACCAAATAAAAATGTATGTCACTGTGCATAAAATTTTAAACATTTTTTTTCGTTTGCTTTTCTAACATATAAGTTCAATGAACTGTGTTTAATGTAAATTTAACAAAACACTTTAGTAATAAAGTATTAGTAGTGAATTTTCTAAATTGAAAATGAAATCGAAATTTAAACAAACAAATTGTTAAATAAATAACTAAATAATGCAATTTGTTTATTTATTTAAATTAAAAAGATTATAAAAGAAAACGAAAACAAATTTAAAAGTAACAAATTCTTGAAAATAAACTGTTTTTTGTACAATTTAAATAATCATTGTTAGAGTCCATTTAATTTATTAATATTTTGCAATGAGTAAATAAAAATGTTTAAACAAATTTTGTAGTGTCATCTAAATTACTTAATAAAATCTAAATTATTTGCTAATTTAAAATTTTCAACATTAATAAAAATGCTAAAGATTGTTTTGCTGTTTGTTTGTTATCAAAAACATATTTTTCAATCACATTGAATAATTATTTTTGAAGATTATGATTTCCACGCAAAATTTGTTATCTTGAACGTGTACTTACGAGTGCAAGGGAATTTCGATTTTATTAAGTAAGACCTACTTTTATTATGAAATTCTGAATAAAAACTGTTATTTACTAGAGTGTTTAATAAAATATAAAATAAAACTATTATAGTTTAGTTTAGTTTATATTTGCGTTATTCACAATCTTAATAATAAAATTGTTGGTATAGGTGTTGGACTTTTAAATTTAATCTTTTTAATTCTGTTTACTATTTACTACTTAAATGATATCGTTAAAAGTTTAGTTAGGTCTTTAGTTTAAGAATTTATTTATAAAAAAAATTTCCATTGATTGTAATTTCGGTCTTTGTCTCTGTTATTTACTAATAATAACATTTAATTCCAATGCATTTTCGTTAAATTTATAACTGATAAGAAATTATTTTAAAACGTTTTTCTTTAACTGGCAATGTTAAATGTAGGACAATGTACGTTGGTTTTGCTAAAAAACCGCGTGAAATTTTGCAGCAGATAAAGGGACAAGTTAAAAATTTAATTGCAGTCATTTAAAATTGACTTTTTCCATTAGATCTGTCCATAGACAGATCTATAGCCGAGACTACAAACAGATCTATAGTCGGTACTATAAAAAGATCTAAAGTCGAGAATACAGACAGGTCTATAGTCGATTCTTTAGAAATATCTGTAGTCGATACTTTAGACATATCTATAGTCGATTTTTTAGACATATTTGTAGCCGATTCTTTAGACAGATCTATAATCGAGACTATGGACAGATCCATAATCGAGTCCATAAACAGATCTATGATCGATACTATAAACAGATCTGTAGCAGTGACTATAAACAGATCTATAGTAGTGACTATAGACCCATCTATAGATAAGACTATAGACAGATCTGTAGTCGAGACAACAGACAGATCTATAGTCGAAACTACAGACATAGAGACTTTATACATATGTATGTATATCTGTAGTCGATACTTTAGACATATGTAACTATAGTCAATTCTTTAGACATGTGTATCTATTGTCGATTCTTTAGACAGATCTATAGTTGAGACTATACACAGATCTATAGTCGATACTATATAAAAACCTATAACCGAGACTGTAGACAGATCTATAGTCGAGACTATAGACAGATTTATAGTCGAGACTATAGACAGATCTATAGTCGAGACTATAGACAGATCTATATTTGAGACTATAGACAGATTTATAGTCGAGACTATAGACAGATCTATAGTCGAGACTACAGAAAGTTCTATAGTCGAGACTACAGAAAGATCTATAGAAAAATCTATAGTTGAAACTATAGATAGATTAATATAGTAGGGACTGTTGACAGATCTGTAGTAGAGACTATAGACAGATCTGCAGTCGAGACTGTAGACAAATCTATAGTCGAGACTATAGACAGATCTATAGTCGAGACTATAGACAGATCTATAGTCGAGACTATAGACAGATCTATAGTCGAGACTATAGACAGATCTATAGTCGAGACTATAGACAGATCTATAGTCGAGACTATAGACAGATCTATAGTCGAGACTATAGACAGATCTATAGTCGAGACTATAGACAGATCTATAGTCGAGACTATAGACAGATCTATAGTCGAGACTATAGACAGATCTATAGTCGAGACTATAGACAGATCTATAGTCGAGACTATAGACAGATCTATAGTCAAGATTATAGACAGATCTATAGTCGACACTATAGACATATCTATAGTCGAGACTATATAAAGATCTATAGTCGAGACTACAGAAAGATCTATAGTCAAGACCATAGACAGATCAATAGAGACTATAGCCATAGTAGTAGAGACTAGACAGATCTGTAGTCAAGACTACAGAGAGATCAATAGATAAGTCTATAGACAAATCTTTAGTCCAGACTTTTGAAAGATCTATAGTCGAGACTAGAGAGAGATCTATAGTCGAGTCTACAGACAGATCTACATTCGGAACAATAGATAAATCTAATGTCAAGACTATAAATAGTCTCCACTATATATTTATCTATAGTCCCTCTCCTGTCGAGATTATAGACTGATCTATAGTCGATACTATACATAAACCTATAGGCAGATATATTGTCGAGACTACAGTCAGATCTACAGTCGGGACTATAGACAGATCTATAGTAGAGACTATAGACAACAAAGAGTGTTCTATAGTTAAGACTTTAAACTAGTCTATAGTCGAGACTATAGAAAGACGAAATGTCACTAGAAATTCAAAATTTTCGCTTGAAATTCACAAGAGATTCAAACTTTAGCTAAAAATTCGAAATTCAAAAGAGATTCAAACTTTAGCTAAAAATTCGAATTTCAAAAGAGATTCGAAATTTCAATAGAGATTCGAAATTTCACTAGAGATTCGAACTTTCGCTAATAATTCTAATTTCACTAGAAATTTAGAAATTTCAATATAGATTCAAAATTTCACTATAAAATTCGAAATTTCACAAAAAAATTCGTAATTTCACACGCAATTCGAATTTTCACTAGAGAATAAATCCCTGTCCCGGAAGGGGTTAAATTCTCTTCGTTTATTTGTTGTCATAAAGTTTCTATTTATAATTTAAACTTAAAAAAAACAAACAAACAAGATTAAATAGATTATATAGTTTAATACTACGCTTGACTTACATTTGTAATTGCCAAATGATAAGAACTTTTAATATTGAACGTAGTTCATGAACAATTTATGTAACTTAATGCCAGACTTTTCCGGGTTTCCAAACAATTTCTGTGCAAGTGCAATCGATTTCTTAAATCTTTTTCATTTATGCTGAGTTCTCAAAAAAAAAAAAAAAAAAAAATATTTCTTAAATTAGTAAGTAGTAGCACAACTGATAAGATTTTTGTTTGTTTTTATTTAATTTTTTTTATTATAAAATATGATTTCTCATTGTTATTATTTAATATTTTTTTACTTTATGATTGTGAGCATTTTATTTATTCGAATACTTGCTCTGACTTTTCACGTATATTTAAATGAACAAGTTGTGGTGCTCTTTGGCTATCGCAATGAAAATAATAATAATATTTAAAAGTATTAATTACTTTTAAAAATTTTAACAAATATTAAAAAAAAATTATAATAGTTGCTATTCTGCTCTTCTCTAGGAAGTTGTTTATAGGTATTAAATGATTTTTGAGATAAAATTTTGAATTTTAGAAATTGGAAATTGAAATTTCACTAAAAAATTTCGTTAAAAAGGTCGAAATTTTACTCAGAATTTCACCGGAAAATTGCAATTTTACTATAAAATTTAGAATTTCGCTTGAAATTCGAAATTTCTTTAGAAATTCGAAGTTTAGTATTGAATTTCAAATCGACTATAAATCAGAAATTTCACTAGAAATTCGTAAATTCACTAGAAATTTTACTAAAAAATTTTAAATTTTGCCAGAAATTTCACTAGAAATTCGAAATTTTACTAAAAACTCGAAGTTTCACTAAAAATTCTAAATTTCACTAGAAATTCGAAATTTTACTAAAAATTCATAGTTTCACTAAAAATTTGAAATTTCACTATAAATTCGTAAATTTGCTAGAAATTGGAAAATTCACTAAAAATTCGAAATTTCACTAAAAATTCGTAATTTTACTAAAAATTCGAAATTTCATTTGAAATTCGAAAATTTACTAAATATTCGAAATTTCACTAAAAATTAGAAATTTCACTAGAAGTTCTTAAATTCACTAGAAATTCGAAATTTCACTAAAAATTTTAAATTTTACTAAAAAATTAAAATTTCGCCAGGAATTCGGAAATTTCACTAGGAATTCGAAATTTCACTAAAAATTCGAAATTTCACTAGAAATTCGAAATTTCACTAAAAATTCGAACTTTCACTAAAAATTTGAAATATCATCAGAAATTTCACTATAAATTCGTAAATTTACTAGAAATTCGAAAATTCACTAAAAATTCGAAATTTCACTAAAAATTCGAAATTTCACTAGAAATTCGAAATTTCTCTAGATACTCGAATTTTCATTAGATATTTGAAATTTCAATAGAAATTCGAAATTTCACTTGATATTCGAAAATTTACTAGAAATTTGTAATTTCACTAAACATTCGAAATTTCACTAGAGATTTGAAATTTCACTAAAAATTCTAAATTTCACTAAAAATTCGAAGTTTCACAAAAAATTTGAAATATCATCAGAAATTTTACTATAAATTCGTAAATTTACTAAAAATTCGAAAATTCACTAAAAATTCGAAATTTCACTAGAAATTCGAAGTTTCACTAGAAATTCGAAATTTCTCTAAATACTCGAAATTTCACTAGAAATTCGAAATTTCACTACAAATTTGAAATTTCACTTGATATTCGAAAATTTACTAGAAATTCGTAATTTCACTAAACATTCGAAATTTCACTAAAAATTTTAAATTTCATTAAAAATTCTAAATTTCACTAAAAATTCGAAGTTTCACTAAAAATTTTAAATATCATCATTAATTTCACTATAAATTCGTAAACTTACTAGAAATTCGAAATTTCACTAAAAATTCGAAATTTTACTAAAAATTCGAAATATTACTAGATACTCGAAATTTCACTAGAAATTCGAAGATTCACAAAAAATTTTAAATATCATCATTAATTTCACTATAAATTCGTAAATTTACTAGAAATTTGAAATTTCACTAAAAATTCGAAATTTTACTAAAAATTCGAAATTTCACTAGAAATTCATCTAGATACTCGAAATTTCACTAGAAATTCGTAATTACACTTGATATTCGAAAATTTACTAGAAATTCCTAATTTCACTAAAAATTTTAAATTTCTTTAAAAATTTTAAATTTCACTAAAAATTTGAAATTTCACAAAAAATTTGAAATTTCTCTAGAAACTCAAAATTTTACTAGAAAAATCTTTAAAAAAACCCCTATAAATCCATCAGCAGCTTTAGAACTTTCTTTCCAAAAAACGAAATGATTCCTTTACATTTTTGTTATCTTAATATTGTAGAATGAACCCACATTATCAAAATTTTATTAAAAATAATAACACTAAGACAACAAATACAATAATATACCACCAGCAATACAAAATTCAACAACATCTACTAAAAGTACATTGCAAAAAAAAAAAAAAAGCGAAAAATATAAACAGTCATTCTGTCGTTGTCGTCGTCACCAGTGACTTTTAACTGGCAGTACTTCATTAGAGCTTCTACGGACGCGTAGCAAAAACACTAGATTTGAGTGTATGTTTTATTTTCTAGTTGAAATAAAAACTTTAAATTTAACATTAGAATAACTATAGAACTATAGTAGTCGATGCTCTGCTCTGATCGGTCGTTTTAGTTGGCGGTCGTCGGTATTTTTTTTTTTTGTTTATAAATTTCTGGCGTTACAATTATTTAAATGACCAACGCATTATTAAATAAATATAGACGAGAGTTAGATAGTTCAATTCCAATTTCAATTAATAATTCAAATCAATCATTTATTAATTGTTGAAACGTGAACATATATGTTGTGCTGTACTATTTTTCAAAAAAAGAATTCAACTTTATCATTTTAATATTTTTAATGCAATTTACAAATAATTTTGAAAAAAACAAAAATACAAAAATATTGTACAAATTATTGTTAATTAAAAGCAAGTAAAAATAATTAAAACAATTCTTTAAAGTGTTTTTTATTGTTATAAGATAAAAAGTTAAAAAGTGCAACTAAAGTTGTGCAAAAAAAAAAAAAAAAAAAATTATAGAAAAGTGTTTAAATGTTCTAAAATATTTTAAATTTATTATAGTTTGTGTACAACACTTTATCTTAAAGGAAATATTTACCAACTTGGATCTTTGCAAAATTAAATAAAAATGAGCCGTCCCATTGATATATTATTAGGTCGTGTAAGTTAAATTTTTTATTAATTCACTAGTATTAAATTTGACATATATATCCTTTATTTGAAAGGATGAAATGATTTTTAAAATATTATATTTGAAAACATTGAAACCATTTCGTCCTTAAGGGTGAATGTTAAAATCAGCTCTTTTCACTAAAATTTCCAAATTTTACTAAAAATTCCAAATTTCACTAAAAATTCAATATTTCACTTGAAAACTGAAATTTCACAAAAAAAATTCTATCTAAATTTTAATAAATAATTGAAATTTTAGTGGAAAATTTCTATTTCCCTTAAAAATTAATAAAAAAAAATATACATATTATTAGAGAATCGAAATTTCACTAGGAATTCTTCTAAGGAAATCTTTGGTCCTTAAGTTTTTTAAGAAAATATTAATCTTTTTAAGATTCCCTAGTGAAATGTCGATTTATAATTTAAATTTTAGTTTTTCTTTTGTAACAGATTTAATGATTATTCTTATTTAATGATGATTCTACCGACTGATTCTATAGATCAGTCTATAGTCTTGACAATAGATCAGTCTATAATCTTGGCTATAGATCAATCTATAGTCTTGACTATAGATCAATCCATAGTCTTGACTATAGATCAATCCATAGTCTTGACTATAGATCAGTCTATAGTCTTGACTATAGATCAGTCAATAGTCTTGACTATAGATCAGTCAATAGTCTTGACTATAGATCAGTCAATAGTCTTGACTATAGATCAGTCAATAGTCTTGACTATAGATCAGTCAATAGTCTTGACTATAGATCAGTCTATAGTCTTGACTATAGATCAGTCTATAGTCTTGACTATAGATCAGTCTATAGTCTTGACTATAGATCAGTCTATAGTCTTGACTATAGATCAGTCTATAGTCTTGACTATAGATCAGTCTATAGTCTTGACTATAGATCAGTCTATAGTCTTGACTATAGATCAGTCTATAGTTTTGACTATAGATCAGTCTATAGTCTTGACTATAGATCAGTCTATAGTCTTGACTATAGATCAGTCTATAGTCTTGACTATAGATCAGTCTATAGTCTTGACTATAGATCAGTCTATAGTCTTGACTATAGATCAGTCTATAGTCTTGACTATAGACTGACTATAGATCAGTCTATAGTCTTGACTATAGATCAGTTTATAGTCTTGACTATAGATCCGTCTATAGTCTTGACTATAGATCAGTCTATAGTTTTGACTATAGATCAGTCTATAGTCTTGACTATAGATCAATCTATAGTCTTGACTATAGATCAGTCTATAGTCTTGACTATTGATCAGTCTATAGTCTTGAATATTGATCAGTCTATAGTCTTGACTATTGTTCAGTCTGCAGTCTTGACTATAGATCAGTCTATAGTCTTCACTATATATCAGTCTATAGTCTTGACTGTAGAACAGTCTATATAGTCTTGAATATCGATAAGTCTATCTATCACTCTGTAATCTTTATCTATAGAAATTATATCGGAAAATGACATTCCAGTCTGTCATGAAATTTCGATTTAGTTGTGGGTTATTATCTTGTGAGATCTTCTATGGTTTTATATGTAGCAAATAAAGTTATTTTCCAGGTTTAAAATTTTGAAAAAACCAATCATTAACTAACCTTGTAAAGATCATTCCAAATTAAATTGCGTTGCACTTTATTAATAACAACTGTTGCAAAAGTTATCAGTCGATGATCATGGTATTACATCAGCAAGTTATTCTGATAATAAGTATTAAATGTAATTAGTATTTGTGATCCCATAAAAATATATATAAATTTTCACTGATAATAAAACTGATTGTAAAGTAATAATAAACTAAGTTTTGTAATACAAAACGAAATCAGGTAAAATTTATATATAAATAAAACGTAGTTTAAGGGATTAAACTTGCTCCTATTTTGCCCCAAAAATAATTAAATTTCTATGTTGTATTATTTGGTACTTTAAAATATCTTATCAATTGTTTAAAAAACAGTTTACTGTTTTGTTGAACTTTTTTCCATTGAAACATAAATAAAGCAGATGTGTATTCACGTTCAAGGTCGTGTCTAATTAACAATTTTTTTAATTGTTATTTAAACGCCTGAGGTGTCTAATAGACCACAAAGATTTTTTATAGTCAAATAGGTTTAATTACACTAGTGGGTACATTTATACGGTTTTTTGTTTATATGATTTAAATGATAGAGAGTCGTCATCGAATTAAAATAATATAAGCAACAATAAAAATACATAAATGTTTTAAAGTATGATTTATTTTTAGCTTTAAATTGTGCAAAAAAAAAAAAACAAATAAATTTATGCAAATACCAGTAGTATTTTGATTTTGTTAAATAAAGTTGTTATTTTAAAAATGATTGATGAATCCCAAATCTTATGAAGAAGAATCTATAATTTTTATAATAGGATCCTTTCTTAATACGTCAGTGAAGTTTATATGTATTTAAGTGAGTTTTTAATTTTTTCCCAAACTGGTATAAGAAAAAACTTTTGAAAATCTGCTTTCCTTTAATGAAATAAAGAAACTGGTCTAAAATAGTAAATATGATCTATAGTCAAGACTATAGACTGATCTATAGTCAAGACTATAGACTGATCTGTAGTTAAGACTATAGACTGATCTATAGCCAATACTATAGACTGATCTATAGTCAAGACTATAGACTGATCCATACACAAAACTATATACTGATCTTTACTCAAGACAATAGACTGATCTATAGTCAAGACTATAGACTGATCTATAGTCAAGACTATAGACTGATCTATAGTCAAGACTATAGACTGATCTGTAGTCAAGACTATAGACTGATCTGTAATCAATACTATAGACTGATCATAGTGAAGACTATAGACTGATCTATAGTAAAGACTGTAGACTGATCTATAGTAAAAACTATAGACTGATCGATAATCAAGACTATAAACTGATTTATAGTCAAAACTATTGACTATAGCCTACAGACTGATCTATAGTCAACACTATAGACTGATCTATAGTCAAGACTGTAGACTGATCTCTAGTCAAGACTTTAGACTGATCTGTAGTCAATACTATAGACTGATCATAGTCAAGATTATAGACTGATCTATAGTAAAGACTATAGACTGATCTATAGTAAAAACTATAGACTGATCTATAGTCAAGACTATAGACTGATCTATAGTCAAGACTATGGACTGATCTATAGTCAAGACTATAGACTGATCTATAGTCAAGACTATGGACTGATCTATAGTCAAGACTATAGACTGATCTATAGTCAAGACTATAGACTGATCTATAGTCAAGACTATAGACTGATCTATAGTCAAGACTATAGACTGATCTATAGTCAAGACTATAGACTGATCTATAGTCAAGACTATAGACTGATCTATAGAAAAGACTATAGACTGATCTATAGTCAAGACTAAAGACTGATCTATAGGCAAGACTATAGACTGATCTGTAGTCAAGACTATAGACTGATCTGTAGTCAATACTATAGACTGATCTATAGTCAAGACTATAGACTGATCTATAGTCAAGACTATAGACTGATCTATAGTCAATACTATAGACTGATCTATAGTCAAGACTATAGACTGATCTATAGTCAAGACTATAGACTGATCTATAGTCAAGATTATAGACTGATCTATAGTCAAGACTATAGACTGATCTATAGTCAAGACTATAGACTGCTCTATAGTCAAGACTATAGACTGATGTATAGTCAAGACTATAGACTGATCTATAGTCAATACTATAGACTGATCTGTAGTCAAGACTATAGACTGATCTATAGTTAAGACTATAGACTGATCTATAGTCAAGACTATAGACTGATCTATAGTTAAGACTATAGACTGATCTATAGTCAAGACTATAGACTGATCTATAGTCAAGTCTATTGACTGATCTATAGTCAAGACTATAGACTGATCTATAGACAGGACTATAGACTGATCTATAGTCAATATTATAGACGGACCTATAGTCAAGACTATAGACTGATCTATAGTCAAGACAATAGACTGATCTATAGTCAAGACTATAGACTGATCTATTGTCAAAGAAAAAGAAAAATATAGTTTTCTTTAATGAAATGAAGAAACTGGTCTATAATTAGTTTTCTAAATTTAGAAAACTTTTCAATAAAAGTTTTGATTAGAAAACTTTTCGATAAAAGTTTTCTTGGAAAATTTTTCGATAAAAGTTTTCTTAGAAAATTTTTCAATAAAAGTTTTCTTAAAAAATTTTTCGATAAAAGTTTTCTTAGAAAATTTTTCGATAAAAGTTTTCTTAGAAAATTTTTCGATAAAAGTTTTCTTAGAAAATTTTTCGATAAAAGCTTTCTTAGAAAATTTTTCGATAAAAGTTTTCTTAGAAAATTTTTCGATAAAAGTTTTCTTAGAAAATTTTTCGATAAAAGTTTTCTTTCAATACAAAAATAAAAAAGTTTTTCTTCATTTTAAAGTTCCCATAAAAAATGGATGCAATTTGTGCATTAAGAGGTTAAATTGCGTATATTGCAAATAATTTTAGGGTTTTTTATTATTATTATTCATTGACTATAATTGAAAATGCAAGTCATTGACATGCAATAGACATACAAGTACTTTGTATTTAATAAATTTTAAATAGTGATGTAAAAGGGAAGAAATGAGAAATTTACAATATTTTTCTATATAGTTACATGTAATAGATAATGAATAAATTTAATGATTAAATAAACGATATTTGTATTAATACTACATATTCAAATTACTTGAAAAACAACTGAAAACAAGCCCAAGTTTTTATTATAGTTTGACAGAATAACAAATAGAGATTCTCAGGCGATCAAGTAGTGACGTTCAAAAAGTAAATTTATACGAACTTTTTTTACATTTATTATTATTTTGTAAAAATGTTATAAATTTAAACATGTATTATTACATAATTAAAGCAATATAACCATTATATGCTTAATTAAATAAAAATTTATGTTAAAAAAGAGTAAGACAAATAAAAATCACAATAATAAAGACAAATTTCCATTAACACCAATTGCAAATTCTCAATGGCACGTACAAGTGTCATCAACTTTCAAAATTTTTATATAAAAGTAGACACAGACATTTTGATATTTCATTGATAAGTAATTGTAACTGTCAGTTAAGTAATTGTTTAGATATAAAAAAAAGCTTTTTTCAAGAAAGAACAGAATTTATAATCTTTGCTTTTAAAAAATCTTTTTTATGTTCAACATTGTGGTTAAACTATTTATTCAAACCTCAAATCTGTTAGATATTCTCACATATTGATTTTCTTCTGTATTGTTATTGATCCCCATGACACATTTCAGATCACAATAGTTGTTATTTCTCTGACCACGACCTTAGACAATGCCAACATTATTGTCAACATTATTTGATCTAATACCTTATTTATTATTATTTATAATTGTTACAGGAAAATGTTAATAAATGTGTATAAAAATAAACTTGTAAATATCAAATATCTCATAATACTTATTTTAAATTGAAGCTATAGAAAAAATAAAAATTTCATAATCACGAATTTAAGTTTGAAATTTCGAGGGTGAAAAAAAAACTTAACAAAAAACTTTCACTCTTCTTCTTTTTCTTTAAAAAATTTAAAAAGCTAATAATTCGGTAGAAAAAGCTTTCATTAGAAATCTTTACAATAAAAGCTTTTCTAAGAACTCTTTACGATAAAAGCTTTTATAAGTTTTCTTTAGAAAAGTTTTCGATAAAACTTTTCTTTAGAAAACTTTTCAACAAAGTTTTCTTTAGAAAACTTTTCAACAAAGTTTTCTTTAGAAAACTTTTCAACAAAGTTTTCTTTAGAAAACTTTTCAACAAAAGTTTTCTTTAGAAAACTTTTCAACAAAAGTTTTCTTTAGAAAACTTTTCAACAAAAGTTTTCTTTAGAAAACTTTTCAACAAAAGTTTTCTTTAGAAAACTTTTCAACAAAAGTTTTCTTTAGAAAACTTTTCAACAAAAGTTTTCTTTAGAAAACTTTTCAACAAAAGTTTTCTTTAGAAAACTTTTCAACAAAAGTTTTCTTTAGAAAACTTTTCAACAAAAGTTTTCTTTAGAAAACTTTTCAACAAAAGTTTTCTTTAGAAAACTTTTCAACAAAAGTTTTCTTTAGAAAACTTTTCAACAAAAGTTTTCTTTAGAAAACTTTTCAACAAAAGTTTTCTTTAGAAAACTTTTCAACAAAAGTTTTCTTTAGAAAGCTTTTCAACAAAAGTTTTCTTTAGAAAACTTTTCAACAAAAGTTTTCTTTAGAAAACTTTTCAACAAAAGTTTTCTTTAGAAAAGTTTTCGATAAAAGTTTTCTTTAGAAAAGTTTTCGATAAAAGTTTTCTTTAGAAAAGTTTTCGATAAAAGTTTTCTTTAGAAAACTTTTCAACAAAAGTTTTCTTTTGAAAAGTTTTCTTTAGAAAAGTTTACGATAAAAGTTTTCTTTAGAAAAGTTTACGATAAAAGTTTTCTTTAGAAAAGTTTTCGATAAAAGTTTTCTTTAGAAAAGTTTTCGATAAAAGTTTTCTTTAGAAAAGTTTTCTTTAGAAAAGTTTTCGATAAAAGTTTTCTTTAGAAAAGTTTTCGATAAAAGTTTTCTTTAGAAAAGTTTTCGATAAAAGTTTTCTTTAGAAAAGTTTTCGATAAAAGTTTTCTTTAGAAAAGTTTTCGATAAAAGTTTTCTTTAGAAAACTTTTCAATAAAATTTTTCTTTAGAAATCTTTTCGATAAAAGTTTTCTTTAGAAAAGTTTTCGATAAAAGTTTTCTTTAGAAAAGTTTTCGATAAAAGTTTTCTTTAGAAAAGTTTTCGATAAAAATTTTCTTTAGAAAAGTTTTCGATAAAAGTTTTCTTTAGAAAAGTTTTCGATAAAAGTTTTCTTTAGAAAAGTTTTCGATAAAAGTTTTCTTTAGAAAAGTTTTCGATAAAAGTTTTCTTTAGAAAACTTTTCAATAAAAGTTTTCAACAAAAGTTTTCTTTAGAAAACTTTTCTTTGCAAAAGTTTTCGATAACAGTTTTCTTTAGATGTTTTCGATAAAGGTTTTCTTTAGAAATGTTTGCGATAAAAGTTTTCTTTAGAAATGTTTTCGATAACAGTTTTCTTTAGATGTTTTCGATAAAAGTTTTCGTTAGAAATGTTTTCGATAAAAGTTTTCTTTAGAAAAGTTTTCGATAAAAGTTTTCTTTAGAAAAGTTTTCGATAAAAGTTTTCTTTAGAAAAGTTTTCGATAAAAGTTTTCTTTAGAAAAGTTTTCGATAAAAGTTTTCTTTAGAAAACTTTTCAATAAAAGTTTTCGATAACAGTTTTCTTTAGATGTTTTCGAATAAAGTTTTCTTTAGAAATGTTTGCGATAAAAATTATCGATAACAGTTTTCTTTAGATGTTTTGGATTAAAGTTTTGTTTAGAAATGTTTTCGATAAAAGTTTTCGTTAGAAAAGTTTTTGATAAAAGTTCGCTTTAGAAAAGTTCAAAAAACTTTTTAATGAAAGTTTTTGAAGTTTTCTTTAAAAAATTTAGAACCAAAGTTTTCTTTAAAAAACTTTTCGACAAAAGATTTCATTAGAAACTTTAAAAGTTAATATCGGCAACATGTTTATAAAAGTTTTAAAGACTGTTTTTCCTATAAAGTTTTCAGATGAAAACTTCTCTTCTTTGGCAGCTTTTCCTCTAAAGTTTTCTAAAGACAACTTTCAGTCAAACTAACTAAAGTTTTCTACAGACAAGTTTTCTTTATAAAAATGTTTCTCTATTAAAAAAGATAGAAAGCTAGAAAAGTAGAAAACTTTTCAACTGATTTTCTTTTGAAATTTTTTGATTGAAGTTTCCTTGAATTGAAGTTTAGAAAAAGTTTTCTCTGGAGTACTTTTTAGCTAAAACTTTTTATTAAATGTTCGTTAAAAACTTTGTGATAAAAAAATTTTTAAGAAAACATTTCAATTATCTGCAATTTAGTTCTTTAGTTTTGTTCTGAATTCTAGAGAATTTGACTTATTGTTTTAATTATTACATTTTTATTTATTTAATAATAACTTTCTACTATTAATAGCAATTCCATAACACTTTAAATTCTTAAAAAAACAACAACAATTACTTATTATACAAATCTTTAGTATTACAATAAATCGAATATTGTTTTTCACACTTGCTACCATAAGCACGATACTCATCGATACTGGGTAAATGAGTGAAGAAATGTTGAACATTAAAAAACGACGACTCAGCATTATTATCCTCTTCATCATCGATCTCCGTCTCTTTGCCCTTCGGTTCTATATGTTTCTTTATGGATTTTTGCATGCCCCAAATAAAAGGTGAACTTTTACAAACTAACATTTTCAAGCAAGCAGCCTGACCATGAGCAGATTCATAATTAGTTATCATATCGGTGAGTTTCTCTGCTAAATCTGTATGGGTAGCTTGTTGCAAAACACGTTTCATTTTACGTGAGGAGTTTTGCAAAAACCATTCTATAGTAGTGGGATCATTTACTGTTCGGGGCTGGTGTGCATTGGGTGTATATTTTTCTTCGGGACCATTTTCGGCATTTTCTTCTTCTTCTATAGGATTTTCCTGGCTTTTAGGCGAGCCATAAGGTGGTTTTCTATTAAATAAACGACCACCATCTAGAGCACTTACAGTAATGGGTCCAGTTTTCTTACCCATTAAGGTATTACCTATCTAGGTATTGTGAAAGATTCTTTTAAACAAAACTTATATAGATTGTTATTTAAATACGAAAACTTACTGCTGAGGCTATCATTATTAAAGCATTTATAGCCAAAGCTCCCAATTTGGCAGCATCAAAGCCCACCATGCGTAACATGCTGGTTATAAGATTCGAAGCACCAAAATTTAAACCTATCGCCTCTTTAGAGGGCGTGGCTTCCGATGTTTTAGTTTGATATTGTTTAAACTGAGTTGCTGCCTCTGTTTGGGCCTGTTGCTGTTCTTGAGATTCATAATTATTTTGTTTTCTTTCCTCGGAACTGCCCGAAAGTGAGGGTGAAAGTTGCAAACCTTTCTGGATTATTGTAAATAAATCGGGTGTATTGCGATTGCTGCTATTTTTGGAAAATGCCTTAGCCACCAAATTGGCCACATCAGCAGCAGTATTAATGCCTGGAATATTTAAGATTCGTCTTTATTTAAAATATTTTTGAAAAGTTTTTCTTTCTCTCACCAAACATTTGTCCCGCTACTTTTAAGCCATCATTTAAATTGTCCATTACTCCTCTTTTCTTTATAATTTTTGCCTGATTTCCTGGCAGCATTAATAAGCCATATATAAGACCAATTATTAAAAGTTTATACCACAACATTTTTGATTTTACTTCTTGTGTGGATGTTTCACCTAAAATGGTTAATTTTCTACTAAAGCGCGTTGATAACTCTTCTGTTACAGCACCACGAAAATTGTTAAATTCATTCAAAATTTAGTTGTCACTTGAGTGAATTTTGTTTATGCTTTTTAACTTCTTTAATTTTTTGTCTTACAACAGTTTTTTTCATCATGCGTATGTACATATGTACGTTAAATTTTCTTTAAAAAAAAGAGGGAACGATAGCGAATGAACAATGGCTAACGGACCTTCTCGCCCAAATTTTTTCTTTAGAGAACTTTTTGATTATACTTTTTTAAAGATTAAACTTTCGTCTACATTTTTATAAAAACTTAATCTATAGTTTTCTTGTAAGAGCTTTTCGTACCAGTAGTTCAGTTCAAGTTTAGTTCAAGTTAAGTTCTAGTTCTAGTTCAGTTCTAGTTCAGTTCTAGTTCAGTTCTAGTTCAGTTCTAGTTCAGTTCTAGTTCTAGTTCAGTTCTAGTTCAGTTCTAGTTCAGTTATAGTTCAGTTCTAGTTCAGTTCTAGTTCAGTTCTAGTTCAGTTCTAGTTCAGTTCTAGTTCAGTTCTAGTTCAGTTCTAGTTCAGTTCTAGTTCAGTTCTAGTTCAGTTCTAGTTCAGTTCTAGTTCAGTTCTAGTTCAGTTCTAGTTCAGTTCTAGTTCAGTTCTAGTTCAGTTCTAGTTCAGTTCTAGTTCAGTTCTAGTTCAGTTCTAGTTCAGTTCAGTTCTAGTTCAGTTCTAGTTCAGTTCTAGTTCAGTTCTAGTTCAGTTATAGTTCAGTTCTAGTTCAGTTCTAGTTCAGTTCTAGTTCAGTTCTAGTTCAGTTCTAGTTCAGTTCTAGTTCAGTTCTAGTTCAGTTCTAGTTCAGTTCTAGTTCAGTTCTAGTTCAGTTCTAGTTCAGTTCTAGTTCAGTTCTAGTTCAGTTCTAGTTCAGTTCTAGTTCAGTTCTAGTTCAGTTCTAGTTCAGTTCTAGTTCAGTTCTAGTTCAGTTCTTAGTTCTAGTTCAGTTCTAGTTCAGTTCTAGTTCAGTTCAGTTCAGTTCTAGTTCAGTTCTAGTTCAGTTCTAGTTCAGTTCTTAGTTCATTTCTAGTTCAGTTCTAGTTCAGTTCAGTTCAGTTCTAGTTCAGTTCTAGTTCAGTTCTAGTTCAGTTCTAGTTCAGTTCTCTAGTTCAGTTCTAGTTCAGTTCTAGTTCAGTTCTAGTTCAGTTCTAGTTCAGTTCTAGTCATTCTAGTTCATTCTAGTTCAGTTCTAGTTCAGTTCTAGTTCATTCTAGTTCAGTTCTAGTTCAGTTCTAGTTCAGTTCTAGTTCAGTTCTAGTTCAGTTCTAGTTCAGTTCTAGTTCAGTTCTAGTTCAGTTCTAGTTCAGTTCTAGTTCAGTTCTAGTTCTAGTTCGTTAGTTCAGTTCTAGTTCAGTTCTAGTTCGTTCTAGTTCAGTTCTAGTTCAGTTCTAGTTTCAGTTCAGTTCAGTTCTAGTTCAGTTCTAGTTCAGTTCTAGTTCAGTTCAGTTCTAGTTCAGTTCTAGTTCAGTTCTAGTTCAGTTCTAGTTCAGTTCTAGTTCAGTTCTAGTTCAGTTCTAGTTCAGTTCTAGTTCAGTTCTAGTTCAGTTCTAGTTCAGTTCTAGTTCAGTTCTAGTTCAGTTCTAGTTCAGTTCTAGTTCAGTTCTAGTTCAGTTCTAGTTCAGTTCTAGTTCAGTTCTAGTTCAGTTCTAGTTCAGTTCTAGTTCAGTTCTAGTTCAGTTCTAGTTCAGTTCTAGTTCAGTTCTAGTTCAGTTCTAGTTCAGTTCTAGTTCAGTTCTAGTTCAGTTCTAGTTCAGTTCTAGTTCAGTTCTAGTTCAGTTCTAGTTCAGTTCTAGTTCAGTTCTAGTTCAGTTCTAGTTCAGTTCTAGTTCAGTTCTAGTTCAGTTCTAGTTCAGTTCTAGTTCAGTTCTAGTTCAGTTCTAGTTCAGTTCTAGTTTTAGTTCTAGTTTTAGTTCAGTTCTAGTCGAGTTTGAGTTTTAGTTCAGTTGTAAGTGAGTTTTAGTTCAGTTCAGTAGTTTTCTATGCATTAATAAACATTTCCGCTGAGGTATACTTCCCCTAATTTAGTACATTTTTATTTCAGCTTTTATGTTAAACTTACTTTTAATGATTTAACCATCAAGTTAATAAATAATTATAACTTGTGAATGATTATATATGACAATGTTGAAGTATTTAAAAAGAAGAAAATTATATTAACCAAAACTTTAAGAAACAACTTTAAAATTTTTTAATTAAATTTAATAATCTTTTCCCAATTTTTAATTTCATTCATTTCATAGGTACGTGGCCACCAAAGAGCACCATCGGATTCCAAAGAATTTCATGAAGTAACTAAACGTGATGCCTTGCGTTTGCTGGAAAATGATTTGGATAGATTATTGCAAACGGCTGAGCCTGATGATCGTCCAGCATTGCAACAGGAAATGTCTCGGTTTTCCGATTTGTTTGGACGTTTCTTGCAAGAAGGTAAGAAAATTAAATAAAATACTTGTATTAGTCATTATATTGTAAATTTGTTAGAATTACACTTACAAACTCTTTAAACTCTTTTTTATAGAGGGTCCTTCCATTGATTGGAATAAAATTCAAAAACTGCCTGCCAATGCTGTAATGGATTATGGTTCTTTGAAAGCTCCCAAAAATGAACAGGTTAGTTAAAAGTAGATTTCGTTTATAAAACAATTCATTACGTATTATTAACGACAGAATTTATGGTATTTTTTCCAAAAATTGTGTTTTCAAAATTTTTCTTAAATATAGAATTTTTCGTTTAATTGGCTGTTTAAATTTAATTATTTCGTTTCATTTCATATTAATAAATTTTGTCGTTTTGTTTCTAATTGATAATTTCATTAACTATTTGTTATTAAAAAAAAAAACAATAATAAATTTACATAATTTGTTTATAACGAACTCTTTTTTATTCCATTATTTTTTTTCTCCTATAAATTCCTTGTATTGGATTTATTTTTAATAAAATTGTAATTTTGTTAACTCTGTGTTTAATGTGTGTGTATGTGTGGTTTTTCTAAAGAATGAGGTAACATTTATTTATTTGTGTTTTAATGTTGTTTTTCTTATTAAATACTTAATACTAATTCAATATTTGTTTTTTAATGGTGTTGTTTTTGTTTTATTCTAATCTTCCTTGTTTTAAGTTTTATTACTCATATAATAGTAGATTTATGAAGAAGGTATTAAACAAAGGGGTTTTTAAAATTTATGATTTAAAGTTAAATACAAATTTAAAGCTAAACATGGAGGTAGTTTTAGAATATTTGTATTGGTAAAATTAAATGGATTTGTTTAAAGTTATTTAAGTTCTATACTTAAATTTATTATACCTATTATGTTTTTTTAGAAACACTGTCAAACTCCGTAAATGTTGATTTAAATACTTTTTGCAATTAATTCTTAAAAATCATATTTTTGTCCAAATCATTTCGATTAAAAATTCTAGAAATATCAAAAATTATAAACGAACTCTTTTCGTGGATATTAAACTTTGTATTGCTAACAGCTAGTTATAGTTCAGTTCTAGTTCAGTACTAGTTCAGTTCTAGTTCAGTTCTAATTCAGTTCTAGTTCAGTTCTAGTTCAGTTCTAGTTCAGTTCTAGTTCAGTTCTAGTTCAGTTCTAGTTCAGTTCTAGTTCAGTTCAGTTCTAGTTCAGTTCTAGTTCAGTCTAGTTCAGTTCTAGTTCAGTTCTAGTTCAGTTCTAGTTCAGTTCTAGTTCAGTTCTAGTTCAGTTCTAGTTCAGTTCTAGTTCAGTTCTAGTTCAGTTCTAGTTCAGTTCTAGTTCAGTTCTAGTTAAGTTCTAGGTTCTAGTTCAGTTCTAGTTCTAGTTCAGTTCTAGTTCAGTTCTAGTTCAGTTCTAGTTCAGTTCTAGTTCAGTTCTAGTTCAGTTCTAGTTCAGTTCTAGTTCAGTTCTAGTTCAGTTCTAGTTTAGTTCAGTTCTAGTTCAGTTCTAGTTCAGTTCTAGTTCAGTTCTAGTTCAGTTCTAGTTCAGTTCTAGTTCAGTTCTAGTTTCAGTTCTAGTTCAGTTCTAGTTCAGTTCTAGTTCAGTTCTAGTTCAGTTCTAGTTCAGTTCTAGTTCAGTTCAAGTTCAGTTCTATTTCAGTTCTAGTCAGTTCTAGTTACAGTTCTAGTTCAGTTCTAGTTCAGTTCTAGTTCAGTTCTAGTTCAGTTCTAGTTCAGTTCTAGTTCAGTTCTAGTTCAGTTCTAGTTCAGTTCTAGTTCAGTTCTAGTTCAGTTCTAGCTCAGTTCTAGTTCAGTTCTAGTTCAGTTCTAGTTCAGTTTTAGTTCAGTTCTAGTTCAGTTCTAGTTCAGTTCTAGTTCAGTTCTAGCTCTCAGTTCTAGTTCAGTTCTAGTTCAGTTTCTATTTCATTTCTAGTTCAGTTCTAGTTCAGTTCTAGTTCAGTTCTAGTTCAGTTCTAGTTCAGTTCTAGTTCAGTTCTAGTTCAGTTCTAGTTCAGTTCTAGTTCAGTTCTAGTTCAGTTCTAGTTCAGTTCTAGTTCAGTTCTAGTTCAGTTCTAGTTCAGTTCTAGTTCAGTTCTAGTTCAGTTCTAGTTCAGTTCTAGTTCAGTTCTAGTTCAGTTCTAGTTCAGTTCTAGTTCAGTTCTAGTTCAGTTCTAGTTCAGTTCTAGTTCAGTTCTAGTTCAGTTCTAGTTCAGTTCTAGTTCAGTTCTAGTTCAGTTCTAGTTCAGTTCTAGTTCAGTTCTAGTTCAGTTCTAGTTCAGTTCTTCAGTTCTAGTTCAGTTCTAGTTCAGTTCTAGTTCAGTTCTAGTTCAGTTCTAGTTCAGTTCAGTTCAGTTCTAGTTCAGTTTCTAGTTCAGTTCTAGTTCAGTTCTAGTTCAGTTCTAGTTCAGTTCTAGTTCAGTTCTAGTTCAGTTCTAGTTCAGTTCTAGTTCAGTTCTAGTTCAGTTCTAGTTCAGTTCTAGTTCAGTTCTAGTTCAGTTCTAGTTCAGTTCTAGTTCAGTTCTAGTTAAAGTTTCTAGTTCAGTTCTAGTTCAGTTTCAGTTAGTTCAGTTCCTAGTTCAGTTCTAGTTCAGTTCTAGTTCAGTTTTCTAGTTCTAGTTCGATTCATTAGTTCAGTTCTAAGTTCAGTTCTAGTGCAGTTCTAGTTCAGTTCTAGTTCAAGTTCGTAGTTCCCAAATGTTCTAAGTTCAGTCTAGTTCATTCTAGTTCAGTTCTAGTTCAGTTCTAGTTAAGTTCTAGTTCAGTTCCTAGTTCAGTTCTAGTTCAGTTCTAGTTCAGTTCTAGTTCTTAGTTCCTATGTTCAGTTCTAGTCAGTTTCAGTTCTAGTTAAGTTCTAGTTCAGTTCTAGTTCAGTTCTATTTCAGTTTCTAGTTCAGTTCTAGTTCAGTTCGTAGTTCAGTTCTAGTTCAGTTCTAGTTCAGTTCTAGTTCAGTTCTAGTTCAGTCTGTTCAGTTTTCTAGTTCAGTTCGAGTTCAGTTCTAGTTCAGTGCCTAGTTCAGTCTATTCAGTCTAGTTCAGTTCTAGTTCAGTTCTAGTTCAGTTCTAGTCAGCTCTAGTTCAGTTCTAGTTCAGTTCTAGTTCAGTTTAGTTCAGTTCTAGTTCAGTTCTAGTTCAGTTCTAGCTCAGTTCTAGTTCAGTTCTAGTTCAGTTCTAGTTCAGTTCTAGTTCAGTTCTAGTTCAGTTCTAGTTCAGTTCTAGTTCAGTTCTAGTTCAGTTCTAGTTCAGTTCTAGTTCAGTTCTAGTTCAGTTCTAGTTCAGTTCTTGTTCAGTTCTAGTTCAGTTCTAGTTCAATTCTAGTTCAATTCTAGTTCCAGTTCATTTATAGTTTCATATGTCTTAAAAAGTAAGTGGCCACACGTTCATAAATTACTGGTGAAGGTTTCATTATTTACTAGGTACAGTGGACGTCCAATAGTACGTATACTCTTTATTACGAATATCCAATAATACGAATGGCAAAATTGTTGCATTGTCTACTCTATAGTACGAATAAAGTCACAATTTTTCTGTTCGATAGTACGAATAACGCAATTTTTATAGGAATTTTGGTTTTATTTACGTATGAATGAAGTTTTTATTATGTTTTTATTTTATTATTTCGGTATCATTCACCTTAAGCTCAGTAATATTGAAGTTTTTTTGTATTTATTACAAGTGTTTTGTATTTTTAAAAATCCTATACACACAATTTACTGCATGTATATTTACAAATCAACAATTATTTAGTGTTATTAATTTATTTTATTGGAATTTTGATGACCCAAGAGAAGAAATTAAATTGGATGATAACGCCAATGAGGAAAGTATTTTATTAGTTCCCGCCAATAACTCTGTTGAGAACAATATTGAAGCCTCAAAAGCGCTGTTATTGAAAAAGCCGTAAGAATCATTTTACAATGTAATAAACATCGATGTTAAATGATGGATTTTTTAATAAGTAAAATGATATTTATATACATATGTATGTATGAACTGTTAATTTTGAAAGTAGTGTGACTCCACATTCCAAACAATGGGTTTAAGGATAACTATTCTAATTTTTAAGGAAAATTATAAATTAGAGAATTGTGGTATATTCCATTCAAGTTTCTAATAAAAGTTTTATGTAATCAGAACATTTTAATACATTTTAGAACACATATGTAAATTGCAAATTGTCTTTGGCACACATCTTTTTAAAAACATTAAAATTTAAAACCTTCTACATATATCTCATTTCAACCATTGGACTCACGATACTTTCAAAATTAAATATGTCCATTTTATGCCTGTTTATGTACAAGAAATTTATTTAAAATAATTCACATCTATTATATTTTGTTCCGTTATGTAATTTTTCATGAAAAATAAAACAAAAATAAATAAAATCCAATATTTTATGTGTATTATTTGAATTTAAACATACAAAATGTGTTGTTCAATAATACGAATTTTTCGGTATTACGAAAGGGCCTGACACTATATAATTCGTACTAGTGGACGTCCACTGTATTTTTATTTGTTTGTTTATAATATTTTGTTATTTAGCTGTCCATGTATGGTTTTTTGCTTTAAAATTATTTTGGTATATTAATTTATAATTGTCATGTAAATTTAAACAGCCCAGCTTCTTTTTGTGTAGCTTTAAGCGCTTATTTTATGTTTAATTTTTGCTATTACCATAAATTTATAATAAAAATTAACAAAAATAAACTTCCCCAACTTTAGATACGTGCTATGTTGGATAAATTGGTGGTTATTAAACTTAATGGTGGTCTGGGTACTTCCATGGGTTGTCATGGACCTAAAAGTGTTATACCTGTGCGTTCGGATTTAACCTTTTTGGATTTGACTGTACAACAAATTGAGGTTAGTTGTTAATAGTTTACTTAAGTATTAAGTTAGCTCTTTAATTAATATTTTCTATTTTGATATCTTTAGCACTTGAATAAAACCTATGATGCCAATGTGCCATTAGTTCTTATGAATTCCTTTAATACCGATGAGGATACCGAAAAGATTGTACGCAAATACAAGGGTTTCCGTGTACAAATCTATACTTTTAATCAAAGTTGTTTCCCACGCATTAGTCGCGAATCATTCTTGCCCATTGCCAAAGATTTTAATGTTGAAAATGATATTGAGGCGTATGTATTTTCTAAAATATTCTCTTTTATGTTATAAATTTTATATTGTTTTCTTTTTTTGTGTGTTTTAGCTGGTATCCCCCTGGTCACGGTGATTTCTATGATACCTTCCGTTCTTCTGGTTTGTTGAAACAATTCATTGCTGAGGGTCGTGAATATTGTTTCTTGTCCAATATTGATAACCTTGGCGCCACTGTTGATTTGAATATTTTGAATAAGTTATGTGGTGAAGACCGTCCCGATAAGCCTGTTGAATTTGTTATGGAGGTTACCGATAAGACAAGAGCTGATGTTAAGGTAAATTAATAAATAATACGATCGTATGATATTGTTTTTTAAATTGTTTTGGATTTTTATAAAGAGGAATTGGTTTTAAGCATAAAAAGGTCAAAAAACTTTAAGCATCTTAAATATATTTAGTACTAAAGTCGTAAACAAGTATAAAACCAGAAGTTCTGTTCTAGTTCAGTTCTAGTTCAGTTCTAGTTCAGTTCTAGTTCAGTTCTAGTTCAGTTCTAGTTCAGTTCTAGTTCAGTTCTAGTTCAGTTCTCGTTCAGTTCTAGTTCAGTTCTAGTTAAGTTCTAGTTCAGTTCTAGTTCAGTTCTAGTTCAGTTCTAGTTCAGTTCTAGTTCAGTTCTAGTTCAGTTCTAGTTCAGTTCTAGTTCAGTTCTAGTTCAGTTCTAGTTCAGTTCTAGTTCAGTTCTAGTTCAGTTCTAATTCAATTCTAGTCAGCTCTAGTTCAGTTCTAGTTCAATTCTAGTTCAGTTCTAGTTCAGTTCTAGTTCAGTCCTAGTTCATTTCTAGTTCATTTCTAGTTCATTTCTAGTTCAGTCCAAGTTCAGTTCTAGTTCAGTTCTAGTTCAGTTCTAGTTCAGTTCTAGTTCAGTTCTAGTCAGTTCTAGTTCAGTTCTAGTTCAGTTCTAGTTCAGTTCTAGTTCAGTTCTAGTTCAGTTCTAGTTCAGTTCTAGTTCAGTTCTAGTTCAGTTCTAGTTCAGTTCTAGTTCAGTTCTAGTTCAGTTCTAGTTCAGTTCTAGTTCAGTTCTAGTTCAGTTCTAGTTCAGTTCTAGTTCAGTTCTAGTTCAGTTCTAGTTCAGTTCTAGTTCAGTTCTAGTTCAGTTCTAGTTCAGTTCTAGTTCAGTTCTAGTTCAGTTCTAGTTCAGTTCTAGTTCAGTTCTAGTTCAGTTCTAGTTCAGTTCTAGTTCAGTTCTAGTTCAGTTCTAGTTCAGTTCTAGTTCAGTTCTAGTTCAGATCTACTTCAGTTCTAGTTCAGTTCTAGTTCAGTTCTAGTTCAGTTCTAGTTCAGTTCTAGTTCAGTTCTAGTTCAGTTCTAGTTCAGTTCTAGTTCAGTTCTAGTTCAGTTCTAGTTCAGTTCTAGTTCAGTTCTAGTTCAGTTCTAGTTCAGTTCTAGTTCAATTCTAGTTCAGTTCTAGTTCAGTTCTAGTTCAGTTCTAGTTCAGTTCTAGTTCATTCTAGTTCATTTCTAGTTCATTTCTAGTTCAGTCCAAGTTCAGTTCTAGTTCAGTTCTAGTTCAGTTCTAGTTCAGTTCTAGTTCAGTTCTAGTTCAGTTCTAGTTCAGTTCTAGTTCAGTTCTAGTTCAGTTCTAGTTCAGTTCTAGTTCAGTTCTAGTTCAGTTCTAGTTCAGTTCTATTTCAGTTCTAGTTCAGTTCTAGTTCAGTTCTAGTTCAGTTCTAGTTCAGTTCTAGTTCAGTTCTAGTTCAGTTCTAGTTCAGTTCTAGTTCAGTTCTAGTTCAGTTCTAGTTCAGTTCTAGTTCAGTTCTAGTTCAGTTCTAGTTCAGTTCTAGTTCAGTTCTAGTTCAGTTCTAGTTCAGTTCTAGTTCAGTTCTAGTTCAGTTCTAGTTCAGTTCTAGTTCAGTTCTAGTTCAGTTCTAGTTCAGTTCTAGTTCAGTTCTAGTTCAGTTCTAGTTCAGTTCTAGTTCAGTTCTAGTTCAGTTCTAGTTCAGTTCTAGTTCAGTTCTAGTTCAGTTCTAGTTCAGTTCTAGTTCAGTTCTAGTTCAGTTCTAGTTCAGTTCTAGTCAGTTCTAGTTCAGTTCTAGTTCAGTTCTAGTTCAGTTCTGTTCAGTTCTAGTTCAGTTCTAGTTCAGTTCTAGTTCAGTTCTAGTATTCAGTTCCATAGTTCAGTTCTAGTTCAGTTCTAGTTCAGTTCTAGTTTCAGTTCTAGTTCAGTTCTAGTTCAGTTCTAGTTCAGTTCTAGTTCAGTTCTAGTTCAGTTCTAGTTCAGTTCTAGTTCAGTTCTAGTTCAGTTCTAGTTCAGTTTCTAGTTCAGTTCTAGTTCAGTTCTAGTTCAGTTCTAGTTCAGTTCTAGTTCATTTCTAGTTCAGTTCTAGTTCAGTTCTAGTTTCAGTTCTATTCAGTTCTAGTTCAGTTCTAGTTAAGTTCTAGTTCAGTTCTAGTTCAGTTCTAGTTCAGTTCTAGTTCAGTTCTAGTTCAGTTCTAGTTCAGTTCTAGTTCAGTTCTAGTTCAGTTCTAGTTCAGTTCTAGTTCAGTTCTAGTTCAGTTCTAGTTCAGTTCTAGTTCAGTTCTAGTTCAGTTCTAGTTCAGTTCTAGTTCAGTTCTAGTTCAGTTCTAGTTCAGTTCTAGTTCAGTTCTAGTTCAGTTCTAGTTCAGTTCTAGTTCAGTTCTAGTTCAGTTCTAGTTCAGTTTTAGTTCGTTCTAGTTCAGTTCAATTCTGATTCAGTTCTAGTTTTGTATTAAATTTTAAAGTAAAAGATTCCCTTATAAATTTTTGTAACATCTTTTCCTCCAGGGTGGTACCTTAATCCAATTTGAGGATAAATTGAGACTTTTGGAAATTGCTCAAGTTCCTAAAGAACACGTCGATGACTTCAAGTCCGTTAAAACATTCAAATTTTTCAATACCAACAACATTTGGGCGAAATTGAGTGGTAAGTTGGTGCAAAAATAAAAATATTTAATAGATTTTCGCCAGCCTAAAAATATGCTTTAATTTTTTCTCCTATAGCCATTGATCGTGTTCTCAACGAACGTACACTCAATTTGGAAATTATTATCAATAACAAAACCTTGGAAAATGGTTTGCGTGTTATACAATTGGAGACGGCTGTAGGTGCTGCTATGAAATGTTTCGAAGGTTCCATTGGTATCAATGTTCCACGTTCTCGTTTCTTGCCTGTGAAAAAGACATCTGATTTACTATTGGTCATGTCCAATTTATACAATTTGAAAAATGGCAGTTTGGTTATGTCACCACAACGTATGTTCCCCACTACTCCTCTAGTGAAGTTGGGCGAAAATCATTTTGCCAAAGTCAAAGAGTTCCTAGGACGTTTTGCCAATATACCCGATATTATAGAATTGGATCATTTGACTGTGTCGGGTGATGTGACTTTTGGTCGTGGTGTGTCTTTAAGAGTAAGTTTTTTGGTTATTTTTTATAAATATACCATTTTTTTTATATCTTAAATCTTTTTTATTTTCTTAACTAGGGCACTGTTATTATCATTGCCAATCATGGTGATCGTATCGATATACCAGCTGGTGCCATTTTAGAAAATAAAATCGTTTCCGGCAATATGCGTATCTTGGATCATTAAACGCTTTATACTTTTAATACAAAAGGAAAATGGGAAAATAAAGCTTTTTTTAAGCTTTATAAAAAAAGTTCTTAACTAACCGCCAACACCTCTTAAACTAAAACTTTAAAAATTTACTAAAAAGCAAACACATATACAAACTCAAGTTTTCCATTTTTTCCTTTTTAATTTTAAAATATTTTAAGTAGAAAATGTTGTCTCTATTTTATTTTGTATTTTTTTTTTTTCTTTCTTTTATTTCAAAAAATCCTTTATGCTAGTCCATAATTGATTTATTCTTGTTTATATATTTAATTACTTTTTTCGCTTCTTTACGATTTTAGTAGTTTATTTTAAGCTTTATTTTTTAAATTATTATTTTCTTATGAATTGCGCAAATATTATTACAAAGTTGAAAGATTTTTTTAAAATTAGGAAAAATATAATAAATATAACTTCTCACAATTGTTAATTAAGAAAATCATATTACAAATTTATAAGTAGTTGTGTATACAAAAACTATTTTTTTTGTGTAAAAACAAAATGGCAATAAAATATATAGTTGTTTTTAAAATAGAATGAAATGTGTAGTACATATTAATTCTATTAGTAAAAATGGAGGATCTTCTTAATAATTTGAAATTATATTTCAAAAAAAGTAAAAGACTGAACTATAACAGAAAATTATCATAACTAGAAATGAACTAGAACTAAACTAAAACTGAATTTGAACTAAACAAGAACTAGAACTAAACAAGAACTAGAACTAGAACTAAACAAGAACTAGAACTAAACAAGAACTGAACTAGTACTGAACTAGAACTGAACTAGAACTGAACTAGAACTGAACTAGAACTGAACTAGAACTGAACTAGAACTGAACTAGAACTGAACTAGAACTGAACTAGAACTGAACTAGAACTGAACTAGAACTGAACTAGAACTGAACTAGAACTGAACTAGAACTGAATTAGAACTGAACTAGAACTGAACTAGAACTGAACTAGAACTGAACTAGAATTGACTAGAACTGAACTAGAACTGAACTAGAACTGAACTAGAACTGAACTATAACTGAACTATAACTGAACTATAACTGAACTATAACTGAACTAGAACTGAACTAGAACTGAACTAGAACTGAACTAGAACTGAACTAGAACTGAACTAGAACTGAACTAGAACTGAACTAGAACTGAACTAGAACTGAACTGAACTAGAACTGAACTAGAACTGAACTAGAACTGAACTAGGACTGAACTAGAACTGAACTAGAACTGAACTAGAACTGAACTAGAACTGAACTAGAACTGAACTAGAACTGAACTAGAACTGAACTAGAACTGAACCTGAACTGAACTAGAACTGAACTAAAACTGAACTAGAACTGAATTAGAACTAAACTAGTACTCGACCAGTAACATTCGATAAACAATTTTTTCACATTTAACTAAAAATGTCGTTGAAAGTTAAAAATATGAAAAGGAAAATAAATATACATACATTTCTATTTTCAACACCATTTCGTCCTACAAAAGGTGGTTTATTTATTACTTTTCCTAGAATATTTATGCAAAATCATTGACCTCAGTAGTTGTCGCCGCAATTGCAATTAGTTCTTATACATTTGGCTATCTTCTACTTCCTTTCATTCACTTCAGCAACCCTGTCATTGTTGTTGACATTTCCACTTTACCGTTACCCGCGCTTATTTGCAGTTTTTATTTAGTCAGTGCTCGTTGTTGTGTTGTGTGTGTCGTGTTATATTGGTGGAAAATATTAAAAAAATTGTGGTTATAACGAAATATAATTAAAATGAAGTTGTGTTTATGTAACAAAATGAAGTAAAGTTTATTTAGCAATTAATTATTTATTAAATAAAGTTGAGAAAGAAAGCAAATGTCCGTTTAAAAATTAAAATAATGTGTGCGAATGTGTGTTTGCAAGTGAAAATAGAAAGAAGAAAAGGAAAAAAAATGCAACAAGTAAAATGATGTTGCCATATTAAAGCTGAGAAAAAAGTTACCATATCACTGCATTTTACATATGTTGTGGATGGTAACGGTTGTGAAAATTTTAAAAGAAGAAATAATTATAAAATGTCAAAAAAAAAAAAAAAAAATTAAAAAATTAAATAAAATTATGATAAACTAGTAAAGGCTGATAAATGAAATGTAAGTAAAAATTTATGTTTAAAAAATTCAATAAAATAATAATAAGATAGATAGATAGATAGATAGATAGACAGATAGATAGATAGATAGATAGATAGATAGATAGATATAGATAGATAGATAGATAGATAGATAGATATATATATATATATATATATATATATATATATATATATATATATATATATATATATATATATATATATATATATATATATATATATATATATAGATATATATATAGATGGATAGATAGATAGATAGATAGATAGATAGATATATAGATAGATAGATAGATAGATAGATAGATAGATAGATAGATAGATAGATAGATAGATAGATAGATAGATAGATAGATAGATAGATAGATAGATAGATAGATATATAGATAGATGGATAGATAGATAGATAGATAGATAGATAGATAGATAGATAGATAGATAGATAGATAGATAGATAGATAGATAGATAGATAGATAGATAGATAGATAGATAGATAGATAGATAGATAGATAGATAGATAGATAGATACATAGATAGATAGATACATAGATAGATAGATAGATAGATAGATAGATAGATAGATAGATAGATAGATAGATAGATAGATAGATGGATAGATAGATAGATAGATAGATAGATAGATAGATAGATAGATAGATAGATAGATAGATAGATAGATAGATAGATAGATAGATAGATAGACAGATGGCTGCATCGTAGTAGGTGTTCTGATTCTGACTATCGAAGTTATGGATCACAGTTTTGTCTCTAATAATATACATTATGAATCCCTCTTCTGCATAAAAGGCTGAGAATACGCTTTTAATATAAGAATTTCTCACTTATCATTTCACATCTCGAAAAAAACGTTGTATATTCAACGAAATCCATTAACAAACATAAAATATTAACAAAATTTTACATATCTTACAATAAAACCAAATAAAATTTGTCCAAATCATTCATTATACTCCAACTCCTCCCCCTCAGTGTAGTGTGTTTCAGCAAATGGACCAAACTCAATATGTTGTGACTTAGAACAACCCCATTTCATGGCCTCTTTACAAACAATATCTAAATTGACAGTAAATTGATCATTTGGCCATTTAGCGGGCCATTGAAAAAGTTCGGGTTCATCTTCTAAACATGAACGAAATAAATTGCATATCTTTTTCGAACCATAAACGGTAAAGGTAAATAATGTTATGGGCACATGATTACTATTGCTGGTATCGTTGCCAAAAACGTACATTTCACTGGGACACTCCCAAACATGTCTAGGAAAATAGGATTAATGTAATTAGTTCGATCTTTTTTGGGGCGGTGGTGAGAGCATAAATGCGTTTAACCCACTTACTTAAATCCTCGTCCCGAAATATTGGCCATTAGCATTTCAGCAAGAATAACCAATAGATTGCAACGATGTCTAGACTGATTTAGCTGCCGACCTTTCGAAGTCCACAGAGTACCCAACCAAGGACCTCTTAACTCAACCACAATTCTCCAGTGTAACGGCATGCCAGTGGAAGATATTATGGATTTATCAAAGGCCTAATGAAAGTACAAGAGATCAATGAATACAGGAAATTTTTAGTATAGAGTTTAGTTTAAATTAAGGAACTTATTATAGAGCAGTTCCAGTCATTGGCTCTCTCCTTATTTAAAACTTTGCGCTAAATGTACTTACCTTTACCAATTTCATTAAAGTAATCGTATACAATAACCTCCAACGCTGTGACGAAGTATCACCGATTAGTTCCGATACCCTAGCATAAAAATGTACTAAAAACTTTTTAATCTGAGAAATATGGGGACAGAATGGATCCTTATAAGAACTACGTAACATGGGTAGAATACAACCACAAAATGTCGATTCAAAACCCGAACGTAAATAAACTTCGGTAGCTTGTTTAATAATCTAAAATAAAATCTTTTAGGTTTTCAGCTAAAATTCTTAATCTCACTACCATCTTTCGACTTACTCTTAGACCAGCACTTGCTTCGCTGTTCGGGTCTTGACCGGTGTATTTCTTTAAGGCCTTTTGAAATTCGTGCATTACGAAAATATCATTAACATCTTTCATGCGTTTCGAAGTACCTCGTATGCGATTATGATGCCAAATATTTATATTACCCATAATTTTCTCTAGTAACTCGGTGGGTAAATCACATATATTAAGGGGAGGTTTTTCGATAATTGTTTTACATTTTCTTAAACTCGGCTGTCTTTTGGTGGGTGAGGGCTTTGCTCGTGGCCTTGATACCTTTTTGGGAGGTTCTTCATTATTTATAGGGTGATGTTTTGATTTTCCCATTGATTTTATATTTCACTTTAAAATTTTTGTGTAAAAAAAATTTATTTAAAATTGAAATGAAGTTTCTAAATATTTTTTTGAACTTATCAGGGTTCTAAATAGTTTGATAAATCGTTAACAAAAAATATAATTTTAAAAGTCGGGTTTGATCTAATTCTTTTAGATTTCTTCCCTAATATAACCATCTTTACTTGGACTCCAATTAAAAAATAATAATCAAAATTTTTGTAAGAACATTTTCAAGTAGTAAGCTTTTTATTTAGTCGAATCATTTATAATTTTGGTGTCATTGAGTTTAGTTTTTTAAAAATCTTTAAATTTAAAATAAATTTTATACAAAATCGTTAACTAAGTTTATAATTTATATGTTTAATATAAATAAAACTTTTGCAATTTTTTAGATAGTTTCCACAATAGTTTTTTTTTTATTAATAATATATATAAATACTTTTACTTACATTTTATAAATAAATATTTAATTTAATTTTAATATAAAAAAAGAAGATTTAACTAGTTTGAGGTGCTGTATGTAGTTTAATGTGCTGGATTTTAGACTATAGATTTTAGGCTTACGATTTGGATATAAAGACTGTGCGGTTAAATTTCATGTGTCACAATTAGGGGTTTTATTTTATATTTATTTCGAATTGTCTTTATCATTATCATTATCTCTCTATTCGTTTATAATATTTAAAAATATTTTTCTTTAAGTTAACAAAGACTTTTATAAGAAAAATAATATTTCTATAGAATATGTATTTTATAAAACATTTAATTTAATGCGTTTTTGGTCCTTGTATTATGCATTAAGACTTTGAACTTAAAACCCCTTTCAACGATATTTTCCCTTAAGATTGCAGCAAACAAATTAAAGATTTATCTATGTCTATAATAGTACTAAAAATCAATGCTTTCAAAAACTTATTAAAGTACAGTTTAAGTCAAATGTAGGGTCCTATCAGTTCTGTAGTTTCTGAAGGGAGACTTTACTCTATCACCGTTTAATTTTTATAAGAAATGGAAATTCCCAAATCTTGTCTTTATCAGTGATCGATTCGGGCTTTCAACGCATAAAATTTTACACAAT